CCATTTATCACAGATTAAAAAAAAAAAAAAAAAAAAAAGATTGTACCATTCTTACAAGCCCAAGATTTTCAGTTGAGAAGATGTATGAACATTCATGGCAAAAAAATTGCTACAACAGATACATGTGGAATGAGTATCTCTAAGGTCAAGGAGGTTATGCCAGTAAATGGCAAACACTACATTACAGAACTGTAAAATGAAATGCTAAGTGTACACTATACTACAGAGATAACAGGGATGGAACAGACAAATACAATAGCAAAGCCAACTGGAAGAAAGAAGAAATCTCAAATGTGAATAAAAAAATAATAATTCAATATACCTTCCTGTAAAATATGCCACCATCAACTGATTTATCTAGGTCTTGCAAAGAGATGTACACTGTAGAGTGTAAAATCATAAAATATATACGTTTTGTCTACAATGTCTAAGATAGATGAATTAACACATAAATATAGTAAGTAAACTGTTTCAGTTTTAACCAGAGAGATTATGAAAGCCCATTAAAATAAAATAAATAAATATGGTATGGGAATTCAAGTCTTCCTGTTTTTTTCTGAGTAACTGGCCCCATCTATATACACATTCATCCACCATGTCAATGCAGGCAACTTGCAAATCTGCCTCTTCACTCCTATCTCCTTGCAACCAGATTAAACCCTAATCTGTTTCAAACACTTCTCTGAGGACGGCTAAAATCAGGTCAGCCTAAGATCTCCAACCTTTCTTCTCCATCAATATAGATAAAAATTACCATTTTGCCTATCACTCAACTCGTAATTCTTCAACTCTAATTTCTCTCCAGTCCCCCACATTCGAGCACATAAAAACACTGAGAAAGATTTTTACGTATTTCCAAGATTATTTCTGTATGTTCATCATCACAGCTAAAAACTTTTGTCCAAACTCTCATCACCTGGATTACTGCAACTTCTTTCCCCAGCTCTAATCTCATGCAAATCCCATTCATCAAGAATGCCATCTCAATCAGTATTTTCAGCAATTACTCTAACTGTGTGAATGCATGAATGCATTCTTCTTTGGTTCTGCCTTGTATTTGGGCTTTTACTCATTCTGCACTCATATTTGAGGTAAACTCACTGTAAACAGCTCCAAACCTCATTTTCCTTCCTCTTGAATGCTCCTTAAGACTTACCTACTCTAATTTCACCTGAGAAATTTGACAATTAGTCTATTGTCAAGCACACTGATCAATACAATCCAACTCCTTCTTACACTTCCTGCCCATGACCATTTTTTTACATTCATACTGTAAGCTTCTGGGGGCAAAACCCACTGTCTCTTTTCAGATGTACATAAGCTCCAAACACATTTCTACTTTACTCACTAAACTAAATGCATGTAGTATTTACACTTGCTTCTCAACATTTTATGCAAATGCTGCCATGTTTTCAGGGACCACATGATGCTATCCTCATTGTAAACAGAGGAGAACAATGTGTGGGTAACCAAAATTTGAAGTAAGCACTGTTTAAATTATACTTGAAGCCTTACCAGCAACATTGCAACCTGAATGAAGCAGACACAACATGCAACTCACTGAATCCTTTCTAATGTCACAGGCCAATATATCTTCAACAAAGGTAGAAGGGTTATTTCCAGTGAGTTTGTGCTGTTTCAATATGCCTATACACACTTCCTTCAGCATGTCTGTGGTATACAATTATTTTCTACCACAGAGTGATTATGATTTTCAAAAGAGTCATCTATACCCACTCTGGTCCAGTAAAACCATTCTAGCTGCCAGCAAGGTTTAGTAGGCACGTTGCCAATAGCTCTAGTAAAACCAGGTCAGCAGCAACTATGGTTTAGTGCATATGTTGCAGGTAGGCTTTCAATCACAGTATGGACAACCCCTGGCTATCCACACTGGACAGTGGATGAGCCACACACAGATTTTACTTCTTCATTGTGCAGCAGTAAGACAACCATGGCAGTTGTTTATTGCCCTTTACCACCACCTTGGAGCAGACCACAGAACACCACCAATGTCCTGGAAGCCTGACAGAACACATGGCCGAGCTCAGGTAGCTAACAGATGGAAGACTGAAGAGGGGAAGAAAAACAAAAACAACAAAGAAAAAAAATTTAAAATATGAGCAGAGTGGAAGGGAGCAGCTTATTAAACTCACAAGTCATTTAGCATTTTACGCTGGTGCCTCAGTTACTAGGCACTACTGGTCTATCTAAAAATAGCTGCAAATGAAAGGGGGAAACCCAGAAGTGAGACAACAGCCTTGTCAGCAGGCTACTGCTTTGTCAATCCCATTTCTACAGTAAGTCTACACAGCTAGGTGACACCAAGGGGGATGATGCGCAACATTCCCACATACAAAAACATTCCTTGAAAGAAGGTTTCAGTAGGAAAACCAACTATTGCAGATATCAATTACCCAGTGACTGTGAAGCTGTGGATAAATTATCAATATAAATAAAGTGAGGATTCTCACACCCTGAGGTCAACCACTGACTAGCCAGCCTGAATCCTATCTGTCCTACTCCTTATGTTTCACAAAAGCAATCATGTTCTGGCTCAGGTCTGAAGATGATGCCAAAACCTTCCTACCCTTTCAGGAACACAGTTCCAGGGAGAAGGCACTTCCAGGCACAGCAAAAACACCTACTGGCTACAACACTGGGAACAATCCTGATCTCCTGTGAAACCTGTGCAACTGGATTGACTTTACAGACGTAGGGAGCAGTGAGGTTTGTATCCAAGCCCCCTTCACACAGGCTTTTCTCTCTAGGTAGCCTTCACCTTACTCAGCACAAGTGGTAGGCAGAAATCTACGAAAATGTTTAAATGCTCAAGTAACCACAGCACACTGCAGATGTGGCTAATTAATCTGATTAATCAAAGTCTTCTGTTCAGTAATATATCACAAAGCTATGTCAAATGAAAACTGCAAAGGCTCAAGAAAAGCAGCTGGCTCCTTTCTGTTTAGTCAAAAGACTTTTAACTCTTTTGCCGCTCTAAGGAAGAGTTTTATCTTGACTTAGGTATCTGTAAATCCACTTCCTTATCTAAAGGAAACAATACATTGTCCAATACACCAACATAGTAAAACACCTTCTGACACTGCCACCACAGGTAAACTATTACTGCATAAAAACTTGGGTGGAAACAAGTAAGTTTCAGACACACATTGAAGCATGCTAGAAATTCTGTTCATCAACTCTTCTGGAGATTTCAGAAACTTGAAGTTCCCAGAGAGTTTCAAGTGAGGCAGCTTGTCGAGTTGAGAGGGCAACACACATTGGAGAAGGTTACAAATGTAGAGTTTCGTGAAAATGACAGCGTATTCCACACTCCGCCCCTCCTGCTGCAGTTGTAGAGAATAATCACTAGATGGAGCTGCGCAGTCACAAATCTGATTTATGGCTGCTAGAAGAGTTTCTTGTCTCCTGCAGTTGTGTTTGGCCTAAAACTAACAAGTTCCAGTGCTTCTGGATAACTCATCTTCTGAAAGATGGGATGAAATGTTTTCATTTACAAAAGAAAGATGTACACAGAGAAAGTGATGAGATACCAAATGGAGGAAACAAACAAACAAACAAACAAGAAACCAATAGCACTCACAGCTTTCAAAATCAAAAACATTTAAAAAGTGAAATGAAAGATATTTCATCTGCCAAGACAGATCAGTTGTCTTGCTTTGTTCTGCAAGTCAGAAAGCACAGCTGACTCCTTAGTGCTTGACATGTTTAGCTGCTGCAAAAGAAAATACAAGAGATCTGAGCTCAAGTCTGTAAGTAAGATCTAGCACACACTAAAAATACAGTGATAGGCAAAGCAATTTCCCATAAATGCCTCACCTGGAAGATGATGCAGAAGGGGGCTGAAACAGAAGCAGAGGAAACAGACAGTTTTGCTAGCACAGGAACATAATTGCAAAGTTATCATCCTAGCCTACTGGCACAAAGTTCATCTAGCTTTCTAGAGATTAACTATGTGCCAAAAGGGAGGTTTTACCTGCTTTCATCCTACATCTGTTGAGGCCAAGTTGCAACCCACTCCATGTCTGTGTATTCCTGGTGTGTGTGCAACATTGCTAATTTCATCTGTAGAGCAACAAAATGATAGATCTTCACATCTTGCTTGGGTTTTGCAAAATCCAGATACTGCCAATGCTTCACAAAACTAAAACCAAATGCCCAACCCACCTTCAACAGGCACTGCTGGGGCCTTTCAGCATGTATCTATGTAATGAAAGAAAAACACATAAAAGATTTTTTTAGCCTCATTTCTAAGAAAAGATGGTAGCACAGTCACTGTCACAGTTTGTGTATTAACTCCCTCTGAGACAGATCAGGCCAGGGAGGAGATCCCTAAACAACCAGGCTGTCAGTGGCAAGGGCACTGCTGCAGCTCAAGTGGAAGATGCTGCAGAAGGGGGCTGAAACAGCGGCAGAGGAAACCAGGCCCCATTCCCCGGCTCACTGAGGATCTTCCTTGCTCCCTTTCACCAGGAAACTCATAGTTCTTTTGGTCACAAGACTTAAGTCCCACAGTCGCACATGGTTTTTGAAAAGGCATCTGCTTGCACCTCAGCTGCAAAAACCATTTGTGCTAGGGGAAGGAGAGAACACATTTCATTTCCAGGGCTAATTGGAGGCCTGAGCCCCTCATGAGGACATCTCTCTTAAGAGCTCCACCGTTGGAGCCCATTACCAGTTCGCACAACATCTGGGTGTGTTTTAAAACGACGACTACAGCGAAGACATACCAGAACCGGCCTCCCAGGTGCTGCTTTTGTCACTCCGCACCCCGCTACAGAGCTCGGTCAGCGGCTCCCACAGGATGCCCGGACCAGCATCGGGCACCTCAGGGCGCGGGGGCCGCAAACCTTTCCCTGGTGGTGGAAAACCCACCAAAACTACCGTCTCCAAGTGGACACGCTGGGACGGCACCCACACACCCCACGCGCCCCCCCACAGCCACGCCACGAGGCGCACTGCGCCGGCGCCGCCACGTGCCGCCCGGCCCCGCCCCCGCCCCGCGCGCCACTCCCCGGCTCCCGCCCGGCGCCCCGCTCCCCTCCCGGCCCCAAAATGCCCCTTTTCAGCGTGCCCAAGGAAGTGGCCGTCGGGACGGCGATGCTGGGGGTCGCCTTTGCCACGGGTTTGCTCGCAGGTAAGCGGCGTGTCCTTCCCCTCCCGCAAGCCCACGGCGGGGGGGTGGGGGCAAGGGCTGCAGCCTCCCCGTGTCCCCGCCGGGGCCAGGACGGGGACCGCGGCGCCCGGGCAGGTTCCCCCCGGAGGGAGCGTCCCCGCCCTGCGGGCCAGGACGTCGCTGAGCTGCGGCGGATAACGGAGTGGTGGTATTAGAGCCCAAGCCGCTGCCCGTACGTAATCCCAGGTGCCGCGGCGTGGGGCCCCGGGACAAGGTCCCAGCCCGGCCCCTGCGTGCGTGTTTTGGCCAGCCAGGAGACGCCGTGCCGGCGTCCTGGCCACCGCTTCTCCGCTGGGAACAGTTTCGCTTCCATTCCCCGGGGTCAGAGGACGAGCTCACTCGCAGTCTGGCTGCGGAAGGAGGCTGGTGTTGGGCTCGTCACGCAGCTGCTCGCTTACGTACCCTTTGACTGCAAGCAAGTTCCTGAAATAATCCACACCTCTCTGTGATCGTCTGTAAAATAGAGCCATTAACGGAAAACAAAATTAAAACTTCAAAATAAAAGTGTTCTTTAATAGAAAACAACTGTCAGGAGATGTGGAAGTAGGATTTCGGAGTTGTTATTTCTTTAAAATAATTGCCCCGTTTGGTAAAACAAGCATTGGGCATCAAAGCCGAGATAGTACTGTATTTCAGTAGATAGACAATAGTCTTTATACTTAAGCTTTCAGCATCTACTTTTTTTGTGCACTGGTTTCATGCTAAACAAGCCACTGAGCAATGCCAGATTTCCCGTGGCCAGAGGGCAGGACGCTGTCATTAGGAGACAGGGCTTCAGAAGATGCATCAGCTGACAGCCCTGAAGACCCACAGCCTCTGTCCATCTGCAAAACAAGGTCCCCAGACTATGAAAACAGTGTGCCTCATTCATGCTTTTCTCCTTACACTTGCCCTTGGCGTCCTGATATGGTTAGTTGTCCTGTAAGAATATGACAGTTTGTAACCTTCATATCGGCCACTGAACACAGTACACAAGCCTTTCCCTTTCCACTTTTGCAGACTTGGGCCGGACATCTTAGTGGTTAAAAATAAGAAGGAAAAAAAAATTGGAGCCCACTGAGATGTCCAGCTACATTGAATTTTCCTTTTTCACTGTATTTTTCAGAGCAAAGAAATCATTAACCTGTAGTAATACTTAAGTGCTTGCTACATTTACGCAGGCAATAACTGAAAAGGTTCTTATTCCTTATTTTTTGTAGGTAAAAGATACCCATCTTTAGTTTTTGGGACACCCAAATCATCCAAGAGCGTTATGGGGAAAAGCAGTCCTCTCTGGCAGTACATACTGGATCACTCTTTGCGGGAACATCCAATTCTAAAGAAGCTGCGACTGGTCAGTATTGTTTCCCCCCATGCAGTTTTTCTGTTCAGTGCCCTCACTGTTCCACTAGGACTTTTTGGTATCGCCCACACCTGATCCTGAACTGCTGGATTCTTTGCAATGTTCCTTTCTCCATCTTACTTGCATACACATTAGAACTTTGGAGTCCAGGAGACTCTCCAATGTTCAGGGCTACTTAAATGCCTATTTAATATTACTGGCATACGTTTTAGACATGTCTTTTCATCCATGGCTCCCAAGCCCACACATTTGGGCAGCACTTGATTTTGACTTGAACAGGTGACTTCTGTTCATTTTAGTTGGCATGTAAGGAAACTAGCTCAGAGAGGTGATGTCCTCCAGCAGGCTCCAGTGTCAGAGCTCAGAACAGACCGCCTGACTCAGGATTGAGTCATTTCAAGTGAGACAAACTACTCCTGTAGAAAAGCAATTAAATGTTAAGTACTGGAGCTGGTTGGTTGGAATGAGCCCAAGAGGAAGAAAGAAAAGGAGAGGACCTTCCTTTTCCATTCAACTGCCACAGCACAGCTCTGCTCTGCGTAACCAGAACCACGTGGTTTGACCTTCGGCAACAGACTGACCTAGCAGTTCATAAAACCATTCTACATGTCTTGGAGGAGTAAGGACATAAGTACAAAGGTTATAATCTTAAAAAAAAAAAAAAAAAAAAAAAAAAAAAAGGCACATCTCTCTATGTAAATTTACAGAAATAAAGGACTTTTGCAGTCAAGGTTCCTCTGTGGTTCTTCATCAGTTATAACTATTGCTGAGTTTGCCACAGCCACGGATGGTCGCTTTGGGGCATATTACTGCTTTGAATGATCAGCCACTGCTTATGATGCACACCCCACCCTCCTTAGTTACCGTTAGATTCCAGCCAATTTCTGGCTCACAAATGGAGCACAAAGCCATCTAATATGAGAAAGGGAGGAGTGTATCTTTTTCTTGGGGTTTCTCTTGTTTTTTTTTTTCCTTAGGATATTGTTTTGGAAGCTTTGGGTTTTGTTTGTTGTGATATGTTATTTTTTTTTTTCCCTCTCTAGCTCACCGCTGATCATCCCTGCAGTAAAATGATGGTGTCCTGTGACCAGGCTCAGCTTATGGCAAATTTGGTCAAACTCATTAAAGCCAAGAAAGTTCTTGAAATAGGTAAGAGTTACTTTGTTCTCTGTAATAGAATAAAGCTTGTGGCTGTGCTTCTCCAAATACAGCCACATTTACATTAAGATACCTTAAGTTACATTAAGATATCTAAGCATAGTAAGGGACTGCATACCTGTCTTGGGAAACAGGTGGGCGAACTACAGTGTGAAAATTAGTGTCTGATTTGCACTTACTTGCCACTTTGTCTATCTGTGCATTCAGTAATTCTGGCATCAGCATGGATGTCTCGTCAACTCTGAGGCAATCTGAAAAAATAAGATCGACAGATCACCTGGGTCTCCAGCAGTTGCAGGACAGGGTGTATTCTTTCCTTCCTGTATCAGTTTCTTGCCAGAAGAACATGTTTTGCTGCACAGGCCCTGCATCCAATCCGCTTTCCTTGATGCACCTATGTTAGCAGGATGTCCCAAAGCCAGAGTGATGCTGAGCAGCCAGGTATGGGTTCCCACCATCTTCATTCTCGGCCTGGCTGTTACGATGCCCTGGTATTTCGCTGGTGGTCAGGTCGCTTTGGCTCAGGATTTAGCTCCACTTTTAAATAGGAGCATTCCTGAGAGATACCGGACCAGACTATGCCTTGTGTGTCCAGGAGACTTTTGGAAAAAGCCAACATTAAGCTTCGCTAAAAGACTACTTTAAAAAAAAAAAAAAAAAAAAGTAAAAAAATCCACCCAAACAACCATTACGTTAAAACAGAGGGGAAACCTTTTGTGTCCACTAACAAGTTGCTATCCTTGACTCCTTTGGGGTTTTTCATTATGAAAGGAGCCCTGTAGTTCACTATTTATCTTTTTTTTTTTTTCCTTTCACAATATGGTAAGTGTTGATGACTCTTATGATTTTCCTAGGTGTTTTCACAGGTTATAATGCCTTGAATATGGCACTTGTGCTGCCAGATAATGGCAGAGTTATTGCCTGTGATATAAATGAGGACTATGTCAAAATTGGAAAGCCACTGTGGAAGGAGGTAAGCAGCATCTCTTCTGTTACATGTTTGGGACAGCTGCATTTGCATCTCAAGGGATTTTGGTATCTTAGACTTGCACATACACACACAAGCATTCATATCATTAAAGGAGGCTGAGAGCGTTCAGTTTGGAAAGACAAATAAGTCTGTCTGGAACCTAGAAATAATAGGAAAAATACCTGAACACCAATCATTCCCTGAGTACAACCTACTAACAGGTTATTTCTTGACCACTTTTCATCGGCAATTTATTCTTTTTCATTCTAGGCAGGAGTAGATGATAAAATTGACCTGCGGATTAAGCCAGCAATTCAAACACTTGGTAAGTGACCTAAGATACTTTTTTTTTTTATTCCTTCCCTAGAAGTAGAAGATGGATATAATACTGGTGAAATCTAAGACCATATATGCTTCTGGATCTGATCTCTTTACCAACAGTGAGACAGTTTGTCTTACGTTTAAATGATAAATAAAAAAAATCATAAAACTTCAGCACTTCAGAAGTTCAGTTTTCCTACGTGCTAGCAGAGACAGGAAAAAAATTGCCTGTGCTGTGTAGGGAGCTGTACTGGTCAGTCACCTGTTCTGTCCATCGCCTTGTTTACTCTATGAAGTACTATAGTCAGCTGCTTCTGGGAAAGCTGATTAAAACAGCTTAATTAGACAAAGCCCAGTTTCTCTTATCCATTGTCCATTCTAAGCAAGTATTTCTTTGTTATAGACAGGAACAGTTTTCTGAAAGGGCTGAGGTGCAGAAAAAATACTGAAGCCATTATAAAACTTAAGATATAAACAGTTGAATTGTCTCCAGAGGAGTTAAAATTTAGGATGTGCCAAAATCACGCAAGACCATTAGGAAGGCAATGACTTTTCTCATTCAAAAAAAGAGAATATGTGGGGCAGATGGAATATTAATAAATATTCTGAAAATGCAAGAAATTTGCTAGGAATGGAGGAGGCAGAAGAAGTTTTCCAGTAAAGGTGTTTGATGGATCCACAAATCCATCCATAATATTGTATTACTTCAAAATTCATCTATCCTTTCTAAAAAGGCAAATGTTGGAAGTCTGCTAGGATGCACAGTCCTTGAAGTCTGATGGAGAGCTTTGTCTAGGCGATGCTTCAGGCAAAAAGATCCTCTGTTGGCAGAGGATAAGGGCAGGTGAGAGGGGTGGCCAACAACCTTAGGAAGGCAGCAGCATCTCTGCAACTGGCAATTTGGAGTTCTCAGTCAAGAAGTCCATTTAGGAGAACTTAAAACTGAACTCCACTTGCCTTGGCCCAGGGAGGGACTACTTACAGCAATCTTTTGCTGTGATAGAGATTTCTGACAGTGTTTGTTCATGGCCTCCATCTTTGCACTTGATCATCAGCGAGAGATTAGCATTCAGAACCTGTTCATAAATGTGAGAAAAATCCTAATCCACTTAAAACAGTTCTTCTCAGTCAGCTCAAAAAATAGCTGAAGGTGTAGAGTGCGTCCAGTTTCAAACTGCTTGACTTGTTTTTACTGCACCTTTCAGCAGTCCCAGCTGCATCCTGCAGGTTTAGAACTACCCCATGAACTTCCAAGTAGGCAGAACTCGGTAACTGAGTGTTTTATGGCATATATGATGTCTAGATTGGTTTCTGTGGGATAAGCTTTTCTAGTAATTAGCTGTAGAGGAATAGGCTGCCTGGTCAAGGCACCAAAATCATTATTTAATGAGAACTTTGATATAAATGGACGACTTCCTCCTACACAGCATTAACCAGGGTGTAACAACTCACTTTGTTGCTCATCTAGATGAACTGTTGGCCACTGGAGAAGCAGAAACCTTTGACTTTGCTTTCATTGATGCGGATAAAGAAAGCTACAATGAGTACTATGAAAAATGTTTGCGCCTCATAAAGAGAGGGGGAATAATAGCTATTGATAATGTAAGTACTGCAGTTGTAGTGGTAGTAGCACAGGGAGTTACTGCTTTTGCCTCTGGGAAAGGAAAAAAAAAAAGTCACAGTGGGATTCCAGTAATGTGATTTCTGACCTGCAACTTGGTTGCCAATTGCAACATGTTTGTTCCATGTTATACAAGGTAGGCTTTTAAAATTCAGCATAAATTCCTAAAGTAAGCTATATGGAACACTAATATAAGCAAAGAATAAAACCTTATAGAAGTAAGAAGTAATATGTTAAATTTATGTTAGTACATATACAGCCTATGATAACAGAAACTTAAGTTTTTTGTAATTCATTACAGAGAATGCTGTGTATTATTCTGATTTGTCTTGTAGTGCATCTATTGTGTACAGTACTTACACAAGATCAAAGGTGGCACTTACAATCATTAGCTACTAATAAGTTAGCAATTTGTAACTTTTACTAGAAACAAAGACAATGTTAACAGTGTTAAACTTCAGGCACCTTTAAGGTTATAGGGACAGCTGAATAGGGGCTTTTAAAAATACCTCTGTTTAATCACGTATTTTTTTATTTTGGCTTCTAATTTGCAGTAGAATTACAATTAGTCAATTCTGTGGACTCCCAGTCCTGCTTCCTTATGAGAGCTCCACGTCAGAGACCACTAAAAATCTGAAATACAATAAGGAATCTCAATTTCTAGAAAATATGTAGGACCTTTTCCAAAGCTTCCTTTGGAACATATTAGAACAAATGAGGGGCATGACATTTCTTTTTTCAATAGGTCCTTTGGAGTGGAAGGGTGCTAAAACCAAGAAAGGATGACTTGGCAACCCAGAGCATCCACCACCTCAATGAGAAGCTTCACAGAGATGCACGGGTCAACATCAGCATGCTCCCAATGGGGGATGGAGTCACATTAGCATTCAAGTTGTAACTCAGGGAAGCCCAGCAGATGGGAAGCAAACAGTATCAAATCATCAATAAAAATACAGGCGGAGCAGTATCAAAAATGATTATTTAACCTATATCTCCACTGGATAGCACTAGCCTGGGAAAGTAGACTTTAGGAGCAGCAGGATCCTAATGGCAGCTAAGTTGGGAAGAGAGACCTGTTTTGAGATCTACTATGGTTTCTTATTTTAATTGTAATAAAGCAAGTAAATATATGTGTAGTTGTCCTTGTAAGACAGTGGTTGAAAAAAATCTCCATCTGTAGAATGACTTCAGTTCCAAGTGAGTCAATACAACCAAGTCATTTTCTGTCCTAAAAGAGGCTAGTAAGTAGCAGAATGATCAGTCCTGCCATCAAAAGGAAAAGAAGTAGAGTTTAGTAATAATAAAAGCCCTAATAGAGAAATGGATCTTTAGTGAAATATACATGACATTAAGGAGACGGCAAGCTTTCTCACACTAACAATATTGAAAGTCACTGGTAATCCTTGAAAGGTACTACATAAGAAGCCTCAAATATACATCATCTGGGGAAAAAAAATAAGTCTTTAAAAGCATGTCACAGGACAAACAGGATTTGCGATACAGAGCACTCCCTAAAACCTTTGTGTGCAAGGACTGGGTTTCTTTAACCTAGGTAAAAGGGCAGATTCTGACTTGTTTGAAGTGAGAACAAGGAAGAGTGAATGGGCAAGAAGAAAATCAAAACAGTTCTTCCTCCTTCCTCTCTCTCTCCCACCTGCCCACCAAAGCAGCAACTTACTCGGTGCTTGTTTCCTAGAAAGTTGCCAGCACAGCATTGGTACCAAGTCTACAGAAGGAAAATGATGATTGTATGAGAATGCAATACAGCTGTTGACTGGCTATTCAGATAATTACTGCAGGCAGAGATTCCCTTCCCTAGGCAGCACGTAACAAAATGATGCTTTTTCCAGGCCTTAGTAAAGTATTTTTCCTAAAGTATTTTCAACTCCCTAGTTAACTTGATTTGCTGTTGTCATCCATTAATCTTGTTTTATCCTGATGCATTCTGTAAAATTTTTGATCAAGAAACAGTAGTTGAAAAAGCTTACCTTACCTGGGACCAATGAAAGAAACTTAAGCAGAGGGGGTGGGAGGCATAATCTGTTCAAACTAGAGAATAAGAATCTAATTAATTACTTCTTTCCATGGTGATTTACAAATAATAATAACAATTATTTTTCAGGGCTTTTTATTTCAGCCTGTAATTCTTATTATACAGAAAACCTAATTAAACAACAAACCCAAACCACAGACAAAAGCTCCACTGCCTACTGCTTTAGGGGACTGATACACTGGAAGGAAAAAGGTCACTTTATATTTGCTGGTCTCCTGTAGGGAGGCTGTATCAGAGCTAAGAGAATCCTTTCATTTGCTTAAATAATGCACTTGAATGACTCAAGGCACAGGGGGACAAAGATTTTAAGTCTCAAAATTGTTAGAACTGGCTACTTGGCTCACATTTTTCAAATTTCAGCTGGGTGGCTTGGCTTCTGATAAGGGGCACACATTCAGGGCACAGGTCTTGCCTGTCTCAGACGCTCGTGGTAGCATACTGCAGTGGGAGAGTAATGAAGAAAGGAAGCATTTCCTGATGGATTCAGAGTGAGGCTCTGAGTGAGATCTCAATTCTATTTCTGTCACTTCCACTTAAAACCCTGATTCAGCAGAGCATGTCAGGATGTGCTTAAGTAAGTACTTTGCTGAATTGAGGACTGGCTGCTGTAAAGTAAAATCCATGGTTGGGAGAAGGCCAGGATGAGGTGCGTATTGGCTCTTAAATGATGTTTTAAATAGGGCATAAAGCTTGTCCAGTTTCTTTTTCCGGGTACAGTTTTACCCACAGAGCTTCAAATTTCTGAATGCTCAATTTTCTTATTTGTGTAAAAGAAATAACACCTTACAAAAGCCTTAATGACTATAATAGCTCTCAGATGGAGTGGCTAAAGGAATATGCACGATCATTATGCATTTGCATGCAAAGCTTCTGGCCGTGTTCTACATTACAATTTTACTTTTTAAGTAGATAACAAAAAATTGTAATGATTACAAACACAAAATGCGACACTTTAACAGCTGGGGCATCCTCTCGAATATTCCTGCTTTCAGAGGCTGTAGGCTGACAGTCACAAGCAAGCTACAAGTTGTTCAAAATACGTACCTTGGCCTAAAAGTACCATGATGGCCTTCCCCAGACACACAGAAGTCACTGGAAGATTGATCACAGACCCTTTAATTGTTTTGCTACTGTTTTCCAAGTTGCAAGAATCCTCTCAGTAAAGTATAGCCAAAACTGGGCAAGCACTGTGAGTATTTTTTCAAGAAACTGTCAAATGACAGTTTAGCAACATTTAAAACCAAATACAAACAATCATAGTTCATGAATCCAGAAACTCATGTTCCTTGAATGGTGGGAACTGGCAAAGTTCCCATCACCTGTGCTAGAGGAAGACCTATCAAGTGCCTGAGGCTGAAGCTGTGTGCAGCAGGCTAGCATTTTGCCTCTGCTTTGGGCTCTGCTCCATTTTAAATATGCAGAGCATAGTGTGAGCATTTAATCAAACCTGTCTCCATCCTGATCACGTAATTACCATTAGAAAGAATAGCAATGTGTCCCTAAACTATAGATTGATGGGCCATCTGTAAGCTGAAACAAAGAGCAGAAGGAAGCTTAATTGAATCAAATATTTAGAATACATTACACTCTATCTTGCAGTTACTCAGAAGCTGGCCTTCTCTTCAGACTTCTGTCCTGTGCATCTGGAATTCATCACCGCTAACTGCATTTAATCCTTCAACCTTACTATAAAGTGACTGCTGATAATATATAATTATGGTTTAATTCAAGTGGTGAATCAGCTTTGGGGAATTTGTGGGGACAATGGGAATTTAGGCTTTCATTAGGTGGCGAGAGTGGACCACACGATAATGCAGCACAAGTCTTTGTCTCTCTCTAATGGTGAGATCGTATATGAGAGTTTACAGGTCTACTCACCCCTCCCGGGTAACACACTCACCTGAGCTACTGCTCACACTGCAGAGGCTCAGGATTTTCTACCCCTGAAGAGGAACTGACCTGTAGGCACAGCTGTTGCCCAAGCACAACTACCCAGCACCTTACGCAGCACTGGCATCTCTTCCAGTTGCGAGGGTTGACCCCAGAGAGGCCAACATAGGTGACAAATGAACAGTTCAGACTTGCTCCAAAGGAAATGGTACTGAAAAATAGTGCATTAAGAAAGGAAAAAAAAAAAAAAGTCCCCCTAGTGCAGTAACTCCCAGAAGCCACTGTGAGAATGAAAGCGTGTAATCCTAACTGCTGGGTGGGTATCGGTCCCTGCTCCGACTTTGTCACATTCAAAATGGTGTGGTGGGATATTTGGATGCTTGACAGGGAAAGGAACAGAAGACTGTTTCAGAGCAGACTTTGCATCTCTGCTAGCTAATTAAATGAGCAGATGACACTCACTCAGCAGTGCTGCCATGCTCTCCCTTTGTGCTGGTCCTCTCAGATACACCCAGAGGAAGGATAGCAAGAGCTTGGAGTTATCTACAGCATGGAAAACACTCAGGACTCGGACTGGGTGCTTGGAAATCTCTAGAGAGAGGGCTGCCCCAGAAAAGAAACAACTCACTCTTCAAGGGTAGACACAGGGGTTCCTGAATGCTGAAAGCTCACTTCTGCATATTCAGTGCTGCAGTTTTTGATCCCACTGAGACATGCAGGGGATGAAGCAGGGAGCATCATTGGTCTCTCACATTGCTGCAGACCTAAAGGAAAACTGGGCTGCTGGGTGTAATGTAACTTAGAGGCATTTGTTTGAACCTCTGACACTGCTGTGCCTCCTTAACAAACTCACTGTTTTTAATCTGTTTGAATGTAGCTACATTACACACAGACCTCTATTTCTGTGAATTGCTGCTCATGGAAGACAATTAGTAAGCCTTTTGTGATAAAGCCCTTAGAATAGGGGGAAAGGAACATGAATATAAACCTCATGCCTTTCTGACAATGCAGTAGCACACTTAGCTGCATCCCTACTTCTTATCCCTACTCTTTATCACTTGAAGAAATCCATCCTAAATGGCCACAACAGGGGTAAATAAGCTAAGAGGTCAGTGCTGTTTTAAGAGACTGTTCTCCCTACTAGCTGAGACGAATACAGCTTGGTCCAATCTAACCCATCTACTGAAACTGCACAGGCCTTCTCCATCCCCGGTGCCACCCTTGCACTATCACAAGGAACGTGACCATGCTGAGCAGCTCCATCCATTCTGCCAAACAACAGATATGCCAACACATTTGGATAACTTACAAGCTCCCCACACACAAGCGATCTGGACCCATCTACAAGTGGCCTGCAGCATGTTTGATTTTACTGCTCATTTCATTTTCATGGGAGCAGAAGCACTATCACATCCTTCCCAGAATGAAAATGTGTAAAACCATAAATAAAAAGAGATGCATCTTTTGGGGGCAGGATTTCTGATGAGTTCCAAAACTAGAAGTACTGGACAAAGCCAATTATTCTCCCTTTGCACACTTAAGAGCTGCAAATGAGAATTTCTTGACACAGTGAGCACTGAAGTTTCTTCAGAGAAACTTAAAGGTAGCAAGTTTTGTTTCCTCGCCCATTGGCTGCACTGCTCTCTGGTCTGCCAAGCCCTGCCTCAGGGCAGTGGCGTTTCTCTACTGCTGCATGTTGTGCCTGGTGATTTGCACTGGGGTGAAAGGCTCCGTTCAAGTGTAAAGCATTACCTCTGCATAACTCTAATCACACACAAATTGGTCTCATGCATTTGCAGCTACTCGTGGTTTCTAAGTCACCTGTTTTGTAATAATAATTTTTAAAGCAATGTTTTGAAAAAGGAAATGAACAAACATAAAACCTGTAAAAGAGGGAAATTAATGTGGGATTTCAGGCAAGTTATTTATCTTCCTTTTTGGCTCGGTGCAATACTGTAGGGATAAGCACATAACTAGCTGCTTTAATATTTACTCCTATTATAGGAAAAGTAAACATTGCTGATAAGTCACTGCTTTCCAGGATTAGATTTCATATTTTAGAGACTGCTTTAAATTAATGCAGAAGCAAACATTATCTTTTCTTCTTATTCATATATTTCCCTAATGAGTTCCAAGCAAATTGTGCCTACTTATATTTTATGATTTTAAATAATTAAAACATTTTAT